TCTCCACCGTGAACGTGTTGTGCCAGATAGTTATGATTTCTTGAATAAAAGCAGCATTAGTCCGAAAAACAATGCATCAGTCTGTCTTCACACTGCTTCATCTTCGAAAAGACAATTGACAAACACGTGCCCTCGGTTAGTCCTTATCAGGCAACTGAAATTACATGGATAATGAGTTCTAGAGTTATGGATAGGAGTTATTTGTCGCAGTGAGGAGGTGATGAAGGGTCAGGGTTAGTCAAACTCTTCATGTCCACGCCGCCTGCATGACAGAGACAGCATATTGAGGACTTTGGCGCAGAGGGGGAGGGAGGTGAGGGGTGTCAAACACGCGGGGTGCTTGTGACTATCCTCTAGTCGTTAGTTCGCCATGCGATCAGCACCTGGAGTCGGGCAGGGAAGACTGCCTTTGTCAACGTTTTCTGACAAGGAATCGCTAACCGAATAGCCGCTGCCCCGGCTGTTGCTAGCAGAGTCTGAGGCGAATAACTAACTCGCGTTCCTTGGTGAACTTGTGAGCAGTGGATGGGTTTTATGTGTCGCGGGATGTCCGGGTTAGTCGCATTCCTTATTGCCACGTCGCTGGCGTGAAGAATGACTCCGTCACGTGTTGAGGACGTTTGTGATGGGAGCGGGGGAGGGGTTTTGGTTAGCGTATGAGGGCTGTCCGTATGTCCACCACGTGTAATACTCGTAACTGTGGTCAGAGGGTTGGGACGACGTGAGATCACCATGTGGATTCGGCCAGGTAGGACAGGCTGTCTTTATTAACGTCTACCGGAAACTGAGAGCTGGATGCGCTAACCGAATGGCCACCCGCCACCCCGGCTGTGGCTAGCACCCGTTTGCGTAGGCCTTTAGAGTAGTTTGTTGGTGCACGGTATATGACTCGAAAGGCTTTTTTGGCGTCGACTTAGTGGTTCATATCGACCAGATGCGCAAGAATCTGACTTTAAATTGATCGATTTTACATTTTACCTAGCCAAACAGGTATGCGTTCGCATGCTCTCTTTTCCAGGTGAAAGAATGTGATTTTGGATGATGTTTTGCAGCATTTGAGGTAAGAAAGAGGGACTGGAAGAGCAGTTGAGTACCCCGGAAGCGCAGTTGGGCGAGGCTTCAAGGGCATTGCAGTTAAAGAGTGTTGAACTCTCCGCGGCAAGTGGAAAGGTCGATGAGAATGAGGTGTTGGAGGCAGAGAGCGCGAATCTGACGGCGATACTGTTTCACCTGCGCGAGGAATTGGAGGGCAGTCCGACTAATGTCGAGGCTGCCTCGAAGCGCTTGAAGAACTTTGTAGCAGAAAAGACAGCTCTGCGTTTATACAGGCAGTCCGTCTTCCCTGGCCGAATCCACACCGTGGCCGCAAGCCGCCCAACCCCCCGAGAGCAGTCACACGCACCCCGCGCGTTTGGCAGCCCTCATGTCCTACCCCTCGCCTCCCCCGGCTCGAACGTCCTGAATTTGCTGACTGTCATGCAAGAGGCGTGTTAACAAGCACTGTGACTAACCAATCCCCCAAGACGCATAAACCCCACCCATAGCTCAAAAGTTCGTTGTCCAAGTTATCGTAGTGGCCTGATGAGGAATTGCCGAGAACATGTGCTTTCCAATTGACTTTTCAATGGTAACATTGTAATTTTTGTCGATTTTACACAGTTCAAAGATCCCTCGAAGTTAAGGGAAGTCAATGAATTCCTAGACTTTGACACCAAGCTTGAAGGGGTAAATGTGAGGACCAAATTCGTATCGAGATCATGGTGAATATCCGAGATATTACTGGAGAACCTTGTAAAGGAACCATAACGCCGACACCTCAACCACACTAGGGCGATGTGCCAAAAGTTATCTCAGGACAGGTAGCGTCGGAAGTGAGGAAATTCAGTGAAACGTATGTCAAAAACAGCTGCCATCAACTATCCTGAGATTTGAAACAAGCAAGGACAGCAGAATTTAATGGCACCACAAAATTTCGCGACCGCTTCTCAACTGCTGCCGGTCGTTGCTTGTTTCAAATTCATTCCGGTGAAATATTCCTTCAAGTTTCTCAAACAGCATATCCTGAGATTCTCGAGCGACTGACATTTGAAGACTATATGCGGACAGTCAGAAATAAGAGAACTGAGGGCAGGTGGGCGAAGCTACTGCAAAATGTTCAACCAATCATCGCAGAGAACGCCCTTCAGAACAGCACATAGCGGTACCTTCGTAGCTATTTTTCAGTACGTCTTGACAAAATCCTCATGGAGGTATTATTTCTTGATCCTAGTTTTTGCATTGCACGGCAGAGTCAGAAGCAATAAAAGCTCAAAATTCATTTTGAGAGTCTCTTTATCCAGACTATCGATTTAAAACCCTCTTAAATCGACTCTCGTAAACTGACTTCAGCGGTATTTAATGAAGGCTCCAACGAATAAATTTTCCCTGTCAAGGACGCTTTTCTATAGTCTAAGGGAGTTTCGTGAGAATGATAATATCCAGCAATCCAGACAGGACCAGGCTTCAGAAATGGTACTGATGGATAAGAAGGAAAAGGTGGCGAAACCAGAAGTCTTATCGGATCATGCTAAATTTTCAAAATTCCGGGAAGACGTGCATCGGACAAAGACTGTCAAAGGTAAATTGGCGAAAGTGCTCAAAGAGGGGCACAAAGTGCAGAAAGAGGGGCTTCTGTCTGACAGGGAGTTCGAGGAACTAAGACTCTTGGGTACGACGATGCCCAGAATGTTAAGTTTTGCAAAAGTCCAAAAATAAGGGCTATCATTACATCCAATCTTGGATATTACAAATTTGCCCAATCACGAGATAGCAAGGTGCCTCGTAAAAGAAGTAAAGCCGCATCAACTTTGTTTTGTATGCGCGAAGCTCGAAAGATTCCATTGAATTTGTCGTGGCTATCAAGGATATTAGAATCCGTGGACAGGCAACGTTGTCGTTAGGAACATCGCTACTGTTCGCGAACCTGCCCGTAATAGAAGGAATTAACTACCTACACGACTTCGGGGAACGAACCATCAGATAGACGTGACAGTGGAAACTCTGGCAAGGGTAGGTTATGTAACCCCCTGAGTCGTTGCCGAAAAGCCCATCTAAGGGTCTGGGAAACTGTCGGAATGGGTGCTAGTTAGGTTATTCTTGGGATTAGGGTTGGCAGGCTTGAACTGTTGTTTGAATTTAGGGTTGGAACCAATGCTGGAGTTTTAGAACTTGAGTTAGGGTTACGGTTACGTCCGAGCTTTCCTTAAAGGCTTTTTGCTTGGAGACTTCCCATTTAAGGAATGGCCATGGATTGCATGAGGGTGGGGGAGGGTGGGGGAGGGTTTACATAAAACGCCTAGTCACGTCACTGCAGCAGCACGAAGGGCCTATTTGCAGGCCAAACGACCTGCTCTTATAATCAACAACCTGCGTATCCAGTTCATCAGCGGACTGATTTAGACAGTAGTCCAAATAACAGAATGTTACATGAGAGTTGAAACGAAGCATGTTGTAAACCATCTGGACGGAAGCCGACCAACCTCCCCAAAACACTTTCGTTTCTGATCAATTTTTGTGCCCTAAACGCTCTGATGACCAAACCCTGTGATGTGTCAGCAAAACGAAAAGAGCTACCTTTGCAACCAATTGTAAATCTCAACGGAAGCCTATTGTTAGATAACGTCACCGAGGACCTCCCGATTGGGTATAATTCAAACAAGCAATTAGACTGACTGTCAACGCACATTTGGGACACGGAACACCTCCGGTGAACATCTCCGAGCGAGTTTCTACCGCCATATGCGCATTACTGGCAAGTAGATTCCCTTCAATATCCACCTCGAGCATACGAAGCAGCCGTAGAGATCACTAACGTCACCGCTAGTAGCAACTGCCTCAAGCACTCAGCGGCAACAGCACCTTCCTGTCATTGCTGTCAACGCTTATTTGCGTCACGCAACGTTCCTACTGGGCACACGTGATTTCAATGTAACGAGACTGACTGGTTCCACGTCGGCCCACGTCGGACTCTCCCTGCTCACTGCTTTAAACCACACAAAATCTGACTACGTGGGCTGGAGTTAATTGCATTATCATCGTATTGCCGACATCTTGCGGATCCTTCAAGCACTATGAAGCTATGTGGCTAACTACGCTTCACCTAAGAGTGTTCCATATCATGTCCTTGCCAAGTCATCCACCGGGCATCACAAACTATTCTAAAGGCCTACCCGAACGGATGCTAGCAGCAGCCGAATTATTGGGATTCGGTCAGGAAATCCAGCTTTCAATTACCAGAAGACAGTCTGTCGCCTGGCCGAACCCAGTTTGTGATTGCACGCTGCCTAGTGCCCTGAGAACAATAAGGCCCATACCGACACCTCCCTCAGCTCTAACGTACTCAACACGCTGACTTTGTCGTGTATTCGGCGTGGTCATTACTTGAGGTTGGCGTTGTCCACGGCAGAGAGGACGCTTGTCTCAGGGTTTTCTGACAGCATAACATCGGACTCGCTGGCCGTATAGTCACTGCCTCGGCCGTTGCTACTACCCGTTAGCGTAGGCCTCTAGCAAAGCTTGTTGATGTCCGATAGACAACCTTAAATGCTTCCTTGGCCTTGACTCGGTGATTCGTATCGATTAAATATGCGAGAATAGAACTCGAAATCGATCTGGTCTCACCTCTGTCTGGCCAGGCGGGCATATGTTCACGCACCCTCTTTACTAGACGTCTCGTTGTACGGCCGATGTATCCCGCTCCACAGGAGCAAGTGAATGATTACATGCACACTGATGTGGCCTCCAACAGTAGTCTGCCTTTACCTCCCAAGCGTTGGAGGAGAGAGAGTTTTGAAACGTACATACGCGTAAATTCGCCGCGGGGAATGCTCGCGAGATAGCTGTAGTTAAGCGCCGTCTGACTAGTTCGCACTGTTAATATTTAACATCTTCATTCCTTCATGTAGCTGTATTGGCCTGACAAAGAATTACCGGAAACACGTGTTTACCAACTCGATTTTTCTCTATCCGTGTTGAGTGCGCAGTCGTAAGCAAAGAACAGGCCGTGTATAGTAGTAGTAGTAGTAGTAGTAGTAGTAGTAGTAGTAGTAGTAGTAGTAGTAGTAGTAGTAGTAGTAGTAGTAGTAGTAGTAGTAGTATAGACACGCGTTGATGTCGGCATGGCCGGCTGATGAGAAAATGACCTTCGATGCGCATTCCGTGGCGCTCATCTAGATAGGCGCCCACCAGCACGGTAAAAGACGTGCGGTTGAAGATGGTTGGGACGAGTACACAGCCCGGCTTTACACTGTTGATTATTGCAAATGCTTCTTAATTGGTTCCGTCCTCCGTGACGCGCGGCGCCATCCCCTTCTGGAGCTGCATTGCATGTGTATGTGTGTGTGTGTGAAGGAGAATAGTTCAAGACAGCCGTATAGAGTTGGATTCACATTTTCTGACGCTTCTCTTTCAGCTGGCGGGCGGTCGTCGAAGATCATGTCGGTAATTTCCCGGTCGCATCCAAAATCTAAACTGAATTTCCGGCAGAAGTCCTTGATTAAGATGGTTGGGTAGCATGCGGGTGAAGATCTTACCGGTGGTATTGACCATTAGGATTCCTCCGTGACTATCGCAGTTTCCGATCTCCTTTCCGCTTAAAGAAATGAACGGCCCTCGCATCCTTAATGTCCTGAGGAGCTTGTCCTTGACGTCACATCTCCTGGAATGGCGTTTTAAGATGACCTATCAGCCGGGAACCGAAATTCTTGCAGATTTCGACAGGAATCCCATCTCATCCTGCTGAAGTGTTGGTACATGGCTCGAATTGTTTCTGGTAGATAAGGAAACAGATCTAGCTCCTCGTTCGTTTTGACTTAAGAGAGCCACTCGAGGTTGGCGTCGGAGTACGTATAGAAGGGGATTGAGGACACTTCTGATGTGCTAAGTTCAGCGCATCAGGATCCCTGCTTTCTCTGTCAGCAGCGTCGTTCCATCGGAGGTGAGAAGCGACGCGGTTCCTTTGGTTGGGGGACCGTAAACCGCCTTGAGTGATGCGAAAAAGTGCTTGGTTTCATTTCGGTTGGCATACCGCTCGGCTTTCTTGACTTTGTGAGTCCTCCAGGCGTCCTAAGTTTCCCACGGTTGACGCTGCACGAAGGAGGACGCTTTGCTGGCGTCGGTTCAGTCGATGCTATTTAGCGAGTGATGTGTGTTTCATTATCGTCGAACCAGTCCTGGTGCTGACGACGTGGGCGTCCGAGTCGAGCGAACAGCATTTCTCAGTTGGCACCATCGAGTCTCCACGAGAGCGTTTATATATGGAACTGACAATTCTCCCAGGTGCTGGATTAAATGATCGCTAAACCTTAAACGGCCAGTATGCAAATTCAAAAAAAACGGTATTTAACTTGCCTTACGTTTACTGCAGGGTTGCAGGTGGAACCTCATCACGGAGATGGCAAGGCCGAAATCCCTACAGTAATGGGCGTCACAGACCACCTTGGTTCTGTCGATCTAGACTCTGGACGAATACGGATTTCAGCAACGGCCGGCTGCGCGTTTGATGCGTGTATCCAGGTGGCCCTCTTTAGCCCCGCGAGGCGGAAGAGGGTGTCGGCGGTGTTCCGCGCAGGTTCGCTGGAGAAGGAGTCCATTATTGTTGCAGCTGCCGAATCCGTAAGCATCGAAACCTGCCCCAGGTAGCGCAGTGTGTCCCGACTCGCACATTGCAGTCAGGATGGACGAACAGCTTGTTCGCCTTCGGTACAGTCGCCAGGACAGCGCGCTGGTCTTAACAGAAATCATTTTTCGCCTCATCTGACCTGGTCATTAGGGGGCGGGCGACGAATTTGGTCCCCCGGAGAGGTACGCGCAGGCTAACGAGGCGACGATTGACACCTTGCAGCAGACAAGACAGTTGTCCCACGATATTGTACCGCAATTTGGTTGGTTCTCCATCTTGCAGAAGAATAAATATCTAGACGCCGTTTATCCAAAGCTGCATTGAATTACCCACATATCCGCCCCACACATTAACTCCTACATAGTCCCCTTGGTTGGAGTGACAGATCCGCAATTGTGGAGAGGAGCAGTACAGTGCACATACTCCAACGTCATACAAGTGTGAGCACAGGGAAGTTGACGAATTAAATTAGTGTTTTGGTTAATTTGAAACGCGAATTTCAAGTCATCTGGAAAAAAGCTCGGTAACCTATTAATGACGTTATCCTGTTAGGTGCTTCGTGAATTCTACAAGGAGTAAGTGGAAAATTCTGCTTGTGCAGTCATTCTATTGTATCAGATTTGGTGGATTTCAGACGTTGTAGTAGGAGGCAGGTAACTTGATCCAGACGTGATTTAAGTCACGGTTCCCGGAGAAGTCTCGGAAAATGAGGTCCCTAGTGCCTTAGTTGTACTTAATATGTTCCCCTTGCAAGCCAGAAATGGCCATTTCAGTCTCCCTTTTCTTTGTCGGTAATAGCATTCTGCCTTTAGATCATGCGCCGCTGTACGACTGCTGTTTAGGCCTAAGAGAGAAAGAGAGTCCGTAAGGCACAAAGGAACGAGCTAGTTCCGTATAAACGATCGGCGAGCGCCACCTACCATTGTATATTCTCGAGTGAAACCGAGAGAGCAACGGGCCCGTGGCGCAGTGGTTAGAGGCGTGGACTTCTATCTCACAGGTCGCGAGTTCGAGCATCGGAAGTTCCACAATTTGGGGTTGAGTATGACTGGCGACGGCTAATAAGCCAGATATGGCCATTCAGGACTCCCTTGACTTTGTCAGTAATACCATTCGCCATATATACGTATATACATACATCAAGTGGAGCAACCGCTTATCCGTGTTCTTTCGTATGGCGCAAGGTCCCTGTTCCATGAAAACTATTGGAGACTGCAAAATGTCACTTAGCACATGCCTTCTCGCACCATTTGGGGTTGGAGTTGCACACACTCGGGAGGCAATCATCAGACGTCAGTTAATGAAACCGAAGGACCCACTGCCACGGCAAGAAACGTCTGGAGTCGTTTATCGGATCTGGTGCAGTTGCGGACAAAGCAACTACGTCGGAGAAACCGGAAGACAACTCCTAAAGCTAATGGCCGAACACGCTGCAGCGGTGCGGAGAAATGACGCTAGCTCTCAAGATGCGGCTCATTCGACGGGTTCCGGCCACACATTCAAATTTTACGATGCCGAAATTCTCGCAAGGGGTGACAACCGTGTAAGCCGAGAGCTGCTTGAGTCATTGTTAACTGGCCCCCAGTCTATTAACAAGTGCAATGATCTTGCCATTCAATACACCGTGCTGAGACTTCGTCTAGGCAGAGTAATCGGCCACGCGGGGAGCGCACAGGGGAACACTCTTCCCAACACCCGTGTCGGCGCGTCAGATGGTCGAGCAATCATCACACCAACATCCAACACACCTGATGAAATTGCAGCAATTAACGACGCGAATGTCGGTCATCACGCCACCTGCAGCGATCCCTGATGAGGGGGGGGGAGCCGTGAATATTCATAGGTATGCGGTAGCATGGCGACTGCATTCAATAAATACTGCAGTCCCTTGTGCATGAACCACCCTCATCTGCTTTTGTCTCTGATGATGCATTCGAGCAGGAATCCGAAACGTCAGGCTAATAAAGCTCTTGCCCCGGCGATCGTGCCTTCTTCTTCAAGACTGCTTCCTGGGACTCGTCTATTCGCTTCTATTGGCAATGACAAGAACTATTAAGAACCTGGTTACGTAGTGCTTTTGATGTGTAAATCTTCCAGATCATTGCACCCTGATTGTCTCCAAAACACACACGAGGGCAAAATTTATACTACCGAATTTTTAAACTAGCGATATTACATTGCTTGACCTATTTCACGAAATGTTGGCTGAAATTCTGAAATGCGTTTTCGACTAGGAAGGATTACTTGGTCGCGGTTGTGATAACGATTATCTTAAGGCATACTCTTATAACATTTTGGACTCGGCAGGATGTTAGCTTTTAAACGTACTTCTTTGCAATCTCCTGTAGAAAGCGTGCTCGGTAAAAAATGACTACTTATGTAGCATGTATTTTTCCCTTGATTTTCGATCGTCTTGGAAATTTAACTATATTTTATGAAATCCACAAACAAAAATATGCTTTCTTTTAGTCAATCAATAGAAAATCACGTCTTCTTTATATTTTATACTGAAGAAAGGAGTATAATTAGATTTTAAAGAAGTTTCTAATTATGAGACTTTTTAAGACCGCGATATGTCCATTCACATAGCATCGTACCTGGCCGTTTACCACTGCTCCTCATGAAATGTACAACATGGTCCGCATCCCTTGCAAATATTTATGGACTCTGTATGATATCTCTTTAATGACATATAAAAATATGGAATTTTCTTTACGCCGGACGCATGCACCTTGTAGAGTGTAATCAGTAAGCGCTAATGCAACGAATGATCAGGCTCCAAATTATTCTGAAATTAGAAAACCTTTTTTAAAACCTAATTATACTCATTCCTTAAGTATAAAATATAAAAAAGACGTGATTCTCTATTGATTGATTAGAAAAAAACATATTTTTTGTGGTTTCTATAAAATATATTTGAATTTCAAAGACCATCGAAAATCAATGGGAAAAATGCATGCTACATAAGTAGTCATTTTTTACCGAGCACTCTTTCTACAGGAGATTGAAAAGAAGAGCATTTAAAAGCTAACATCCTGCAGAGTTTAAAATGTTATAAGAGTATGCCTTAAGATAATCAGTATCACAACCGCGACCAAGTAATCCTTCCTAATCGAAAACGCATTTCAGAATTTCAGCCAACATGTCATGAGATAGGTCACGCACTGTATACTGCGTCTCTATGAAATATACGGTACGTAACACTAAAGTTCGACTCCCAAGACTGTTGTGGACTCACGAACCTTGATCGTTCGTGGTTACGCCGATGCCGAAAGGCACTCCCTCATCAGACAGGTTAAAAAATATCGCATTTTGAATTCGCCAAATTCCTTGAGGTATTTTACCATCCTCGACGCAAAAACCACCACGAGATCACTTTATTCCTTTTTCTAGTATGTACAACTGAATACCGGCAGAATATGATTACCGAAAAGGACAAGTGAGACTATCTTGCATTTGTCGGTAATAATATTCTGCCTATCTGAATCGCTGCTATGCGGCTGCTGGTTGGGCTCGAAAGAGTGCTTGTAAGGCACAACGGAACGAGTGTGTTCCGTAAGAACGATTGGTGAGCGCCCATCTACCACAGTTAAACACCGTCAGTTTTTTTCCCGAGAGCGCAACTACTATCTCGCAAAAGGCCCCACATGAGCATAGACAGTTCATAAAATTATTCCTTGTTTAAACGACTTTGTACTCGCTTTGCTCATTCAGAACAACTTCCAAAATGCTGCATAACAAATACACCGAAATCACCTCCCATAATGACGGGATGCCTGGTTATTTATCTCTCTATTTGCATGACGCTTAATCTGCAGCTTTCAACCCAGCGAGTAAATTCTTCATATGTCGGTGAGCAACGGTTTATCCGTGTTCTCTCGTACAGCGCAAGGTCCCAGTTACATGAAAACTATTAGAGACTGCAAAATGTCACTTAGCACATGTCAAGTATCCTTAGTCAGTATTTCCCTCATTTCTCGGACTGCTGTGTTTATCTTGAATTAACCTGATTACTTAAAACAAACCAATTATATAGGTGCATTTCTTCACGGCTTGCTTGATTCGTACTCCGAATTTTCTTCGATAATCTCTGCGAACTTATACTTAACATAATTATTGCTGTTATTATTGTCATTATTACAAAAGTTTCCCTGTCGTCGAAATGCCCACCTGCTTCAGTCAGGCTTGTAGATACAGTGGACAGGACCAACATACCCAGGATTCGGCTGGCCAGCCTTTTCCAGCCCTGTTTACGATTGCACCAAAAATAGTCATTTTCCTTCCCTTTTGAAGATTTGGCTTGTGTCGCGCTTTAATGCATTCCTCGTCGATTGCCTAATGCCGGCTTACGATTGCGCCAAAAATAGCTGGTTTTTGCGTGCCAACTCTCATCGCCCTCCTGACCAACCTATGACCAGAATAGGTGGGAGAAAATGCCTTTCGAGTGGTCACTTAGAGAAACGTCTGTTAATAGGTTGTCCTGGAATGCACTCAGCGACGCTTACCATAGTCGCTCTTTCCGAAAGATAATGCAAAATATTTAGAATCTAAAAGGTGCCTTCAGTATAAAATGAAAGATTTTACCCTTATCGAGAAGATAGCTGCTCCGTTCATCATCATCATCATCTATGCCCTCTAATAGCTGTGTCATGCAGTGACAGTGTACGTGCCTCCAAGACATACAGATCGACCGGACTTATCCTGCTAAAATTTAGAAAGTGCGGCATTAAAACGCGTCTCTCTGACATGTATGGTAGGCCTGGTCAGGAATGCTGTTCGCTTTTATTGGACCTCCTACGCGTTGGTGAGCGGATAAAAATAGAGTGTTTCTAGTATCTTTCCACCAAAAGGGCCTCAAATCATGAAGAGTGAAATGTGACTACCGAAAACGTTGTAGACTTACGAACCTTGGTTCTTTTTGGCGTCGCCGGCTGTGGCAGAGGACATTTTTACGCTTCAAAGGCAAGGCAAGTAGAAACGTTCGTTACCAAAAAGTTGATATTGAGGAAACAAGGTGGTTTTGATTTGGATGCAAAACTGTCCAAATTCCTTGATACACTGGGAAATTCCATAGAGAAGGATAGTATGGGCTATTTATAGGAGCTAACGCGGGAAAACCAACCACCTCAGCAGGGGTCACCCTTGCCTCTGTCGATTATAGCATTCCGAATATACAATGCGCGGAAAAATGTCACTTAGCACATGTAAAATATCCTTAGTCAGTATTTCCCTCATTTCTCGGACTGCTGTGTTTATCTGGAATCAACCTGATTACTTAAAACAAACCAATTGTATAGGTGAATTCCGTCACGGCTTCCTTGGTTCGTACTCCGACTTTTCTTCGACAATCTCTGCAAACTTATACTTAACACAATTATTGTTGTTATAATTATCATTAATACTTAAGTTTTCATATCGGCAAAATTCACACCTGCTTCTGTCAGGCTTACAGATACAGTGGACAGGACCAGCATACCGAGGATTCGGCCGGCCAACCTTTTCCGGCCCTGCTTACGATTGCGCCAAAAATAGTCATTTTCCTTTCCTTTTGAAGATATGGCTTGTGTCGCGCTTTAATGCATTTCTCGTCAATCGCCTGATGAATAAATGTGTCTGTCTAGCTGTTTTTTGCGTACCAAATTCTCATTCCCCTCCTGACAAACAGCTGATCAGATTACGTTGGGCAAGGTGTCTTCCGAGTGCCCACTTCTAGAAAAGTCTTAAGATGGTTGTCCTGGAATGCACTCAACGGCGATTAACAGTGTCGTTCAGATTTTTCCGAAAGATAATGCAAAGTATTTAGAATCTAAACGGTGCATTCAGTGTAAAAATTTGCACAGCGGATTGTCCAAATCGAAGCTGAAAGAATTTACTCTAATCAAGAAGACAAACGTACTGTTCATCATCATCATCATCATCATCATCATCATCATCATCATCATCATCATCATCATCATCATCATCATCATCATCATCATCATCATCATCATCATCATCATCATCATCATCATCATCATCATCACCATCATCATCATCATCAACATCATCATCGTCATCATCATCATCATAATCCATGCCCTCTAATAGCTGTGTCATGCAGTGACAGGGTGCGTGCCTCCATGGCGCACGGTCCGACCGGATTTATCCTACTAAACTTTAGAAATTGCGGCATTAGAACGCGTCTCTCTGAGATGTATGGTAGGCCTGCTCAGGTTCGCTTGTATTGGACCGCCTACGCGCTGGTGAGCCAAAGGAAATAGAGTGTTTTCCGTATCTTTCCATCAAAAGAGTCTTAACTCTGGAACACTAAAATGTGACTGCAAAAGCGTTGTTGACTCACAAACCGTGATTCTTTGTGGCTTTGCAGGTTATGACAGAGGACCTTTTAAGGCGTCAGAGGCAAGTGCAGAATTATTCGCTTCAAAAGATTTGGTATTGAAGAGACAAGGTGGTTTCAATTTGGATGCAAAACTGTCCAGATTCTTTGATGCACTGCGAGATGCCATAGGGAAAGATACATATGGGAAATATACAGGAGCAAACGCTGGACAACTAACCATCTGATCAGGGGTCACCCTTGTCTTTGTCGGTTATAACATTCTGAATATACCATGCGTCGCTGTGCGGCTGCTGTTTCGGCTCGAGAGAGAGCTCGCAAGCACAACGGAAAGATGGAGTTCTGTAAGAACGATCGGTGAGCGCCCCCTACCATTGTATATTCCGGATCGAAAACCGACAGGGCAACGGGCTCGTGGCCCGGTGGGTAGAGGCGCGGACTTCTAAACCAACAGGCCGCGAGTTCGATGCTCGGGTGTTCCACACATCGGGCTTGGGTATGGCTGGCTGACGACGGCTAATAAGCCAGAAATGGCCATTCCAGTCTCCTTTGTCTTGCGATGGATATATATATATGGAGAATGGTATTACCGACAAAGTCAAGGGAGTCCTGAATGACCATATCTGGCTTATTAGCCGTCGCCAGTCATACCTAACCCCAAATTGTGGAACTGCCGATGCTCGAACTCGCGACCTGTGAGTAAGAAGTCTACGCCTCTAACCACTGGGCCACGAGCCCGTTGCTCTGTCGGTTTCAATCGATAATATACAATGGTAGGCGGCGCTCGCCGACCGTTTTTACGGAATTCGCTCGTTCCTTTGTGCCTTACGGACTCGCTTTCTTTCTTAAGCCTAAACAGCAGCCGTACAGCGGCGCATGATATAAAGGCAGAATGCTATTACCGACAAAGACAAGGGAGACTGAAATGGCCATTTCTGGCTAGCAAGGGGAAAAGATTAAGTACAACTAAGGCACTAGGGACCTCATTTTCCGAGACTTCTCAGGGAACCGTGACTTAACTCACGTCTGGATCAAGTTACCTGCCTTCTACTACAACGTCTGAAATCCACCAAATCTGATACAATAGAATGCCTGCACAAGCAGAATTCTCCACTTAATCCTTCTAGAATCCACAAAGCACCTAACAGGATAACGTCATTAATAGGTCACCGAGTTTTTTTCCAGATGACTTGAAATTCGCGTTTCAAATTAACCAAAACACTAATTTAATTCGTCAACTTCCCTGTGCTTACACTTGTATGACGTTCAAGTATGTGCACTGTACTGCTCCTCTCCACAATTGCTGATCTGTCACTCCAAGTAAGGGGGCAATGTAGGAGTAAATGTGTGGGGCGGATATGTGGGTAATTCAATTCAGCTTTGGATAAACGGCGTCTAGATATTTATTCTTCTGCAAGATATAGAGCCAACCAAATTCCGGTACTGTATAGTGGGACGACTGTTTTGTCTGCTGCAGGGTGTCAGTCGTCACCTCGTTAGCCTGCGCGTACCTTTCCGGGGGACCAAATTTGTCGCCCGCCACCCCCGCCCCCTCCCCCCCACAATGACCAGCTGCAATGAGGAGAAAAATGAGTTCTGTGAAGACCAGCGCGCTGTCCTGGCGACTGTACCGAAGGCGAACAAGCTGATCGTCCTTGCTGACTACAATGCCCGAGTCGGGTCTTACTGCGCTACTTGATGGGAGGGGGGGGCGGGTGTTGTGTGTTCACGGATTCAGCAGTTGCAGCAGGGTTCACCCTAGTCTTTGTCGGTAATAGCCTTCGGTATACATCATGCGCCGCTGGACGGCTGCTGGCGGGCCTCGAGAGAGAGAGCCCGCAATACACAACGGGAAGAGTAAATTCCGTAATATCGATCGGTGAGCACCCCTCCACCACAGATGGCTTTTGTTGAAAGTCAAATACCCGTCGGTATCTCCTTCTGTCTGCTGTATTTGGTTAGGTAGATCCCTATCGTACGGAATATCTCTTTTGTAGCATTCGACACATCCGTACGTGTTGAAAAATGGCATGAGTCCTGCTTACTCCAATTTTTGGTGTCTTCCTTCCAGTAATTTATTTTAAAGCAAACGAGGAGCAACGGGAGACCATTCCAGTCGCGGGAAACGATCCCCTTATAGTCTATGGGAAAGGCATGCGTTTTGAAAGACGAAGGTGAGATCACTGGAACAAGAAATTTATTGGCCTGACGGTTCGGATTCTCCCTCTGCGCAGTTCATTCGGTAGTGTTCGGCAGTTTTGAGGCTCTTACGGAGCTTACGAAGGCGGTAGGATACAGATGTATTTTCAGGCCTAGTGGTAGACGTTACTTCCTAGTTTTCCTATGCCAACCCTGAATATTGTTTCCCCGTTATCTGCACATATTTTCAAAAAATTGAAAAAACAGTCGCGAACGTGACACATACTTAACAAGCACAATGACCTCCCGGTACTCTATTCCGTACTGCGATTTTCCTTGGGCAGGAGAATCAGTCACGTGGGGAGGGCGCGGGCGAGCAATCATCACGGTGACAGTGAGTCAGTTTGCCGAGCAATCGTCACACCAGCATCTAGCACGGATGACGAAATCGCGGCAATTAACGGCTCGGACTCAGACCGACAAGCCACCACCGCATCAATTACGACCCCAGCGGTGATTGCGAGAACTGTTAATTGCAGTGCGCATACGGTTCCACGGCAGCCACGTGCTATAGATACTGCACTCCTGGTGTCACAATCACCTTTATCTGCGAATGTCTCTGATGATGGATTCGAGTGGGAATCCGAAACGCCCGTCAAATAAATTTCTTGTTCTAGTGATCGCATCTTCATCTTCTGAACATACCTAACTCTAAGCACATCACCACGATGCCCTTGTATTACAACAGATGAGTCTTTGCAATTTTGCAATAGTCGCGCACTCACAGTGAGCTGGAGGAAGGTATTCCCATTACTACTCTTAAATGTCCATGTGTTAATGGAACCAAATCTAGTGTCTCACCACTTATGACTGCATGATCGCAGAAATAAAGTTGCACAGGGGAGAGGAGGTAAGCTTGTTGGCTGTAGAAGATCGGCACTTCATTTGCCACCGAGATCTGCGTCATCGGATTTTATGTATGTGTCCCTGAAGCCTAGGGCAATGTTGCGGATGCTGGCATAATTTGTCAGGCCAGACATTTGTTGGTTAATCAGACCTTCATGGGAGTTCACGTAAACGAAGACGACTTGTTCCTCGCTCACTAGGCAGCACGATGCAACTAATTATGCGCAACATATTTTCCAGGAATGAAGACCGCCGAGTAACAGACATTCCGCAGAGATTACAAAAAACTGGGCCAGTATTTTAGGAACAAATCTTTTCGATTAGCCCTAAATTTCGTTCGATTGTGATGCTGTAACTGTTACGATTATACGCTCAGTCAAAAAACGAAATATAATAGAATTTCCGAAGGATATGTGGAAATCAGATATTTATTCAAATAGATTCGGAAATATTATATAAAAAAATAATGTGCGAGCAAATTACAGCCAAAATGATTTAAGTATCAGATAAATGAAAAAAGATAGACTCCAGATGTCGCAGCAAAAGGAGAAGACGTGACTTTTTCATCAGGGTAGGGTGCCTGTTAAGAAAAAGAGCAGAGGGCAAATCAAGAGGACTGCTGTTTGCTACAAAAATGTCGTGCCTGAACATTTAACTCACAGGTAATAATTTGAACACACAACTAGCGAATCTATGCCCTCCCAAATATCACTGTAAGCAGAAAACTACAATCCGAGTAAACGCAAATTGCCCGAGGCAGAGCATATTCATGATTCCACCTGAGAAGTGGAATGTTAACAATTCATCATGATATATGCTCTGCGTTTGGCGCATGTACATAGCTAGGAATGCCGCCCTAAGGATAGGGCTGTTGCTTACCTGATGATTCTAATTCCGGCGTCTCCGAAAACTCGCCTTCCACATCAGTTACGCGTTCTGCAAAAAAAACAGGAAAACAGTCATGAGCATGGCTGATTCAATAAAAAAATGCTACGCCTGCAAACAAATATCAAAGGCATTGCGAGAGAATGGCATAAGAATATCTGTGAACAGTCAGAAACCCTCTAAACATCTCAATATCACTGCCAAACTGTCGCCTTAAGAATATAGAAAACGTCATAAATGCATAAATAGTATTACCAAATAATGAAGAGGGCTGACGGTTACCTGGTTTCTGTGCATCGGGCGTCTCCGAGATCTCGCCTTCAACATCGGTTACGGTTTCTGCAAAGCAATAAATGCAGGGCACAATTCGTGAGCATTGCTCCTATCATTCTAAATTGCTATGAATCCACACTAAAACCACACGTCCTAATGTGAACACAACACTAGCATATACATCACCCACAAGATATAGATCTAAATCTCTGTTTCTAGCTGTCTGGTGACTATTGCAAATCGAGTAAATATAACGTGCCCGAGGCAGAGCCTATTGCTGATTCTAAATGATGAAGAGGATGTTCAATGATGCGTCTTCCGTCAGGTGAAAGAAAGGGGCTGCTTCATGATCTACGCTCTGAGCCTGGCGCATCCACATAATTAGGAATGCCGAGCTATGGACAGTGCTGTTGCTTACCTGGTTCCTGTGCATCGGGCGTCTCCGAGATCTCGCCTTCAACATCGGTTACGGTTTCTGCAAAGCAATAAATGCAGGGCACAATTCGTGAGCATTGCTGCTATCATTCTAAATTGCTATGAATCCACACTAAAACCTCACGTACTAATGTGAACACAACACTACCATATACATCACCCACAAGATATAGATCTAAATCTCTGTTTCTAGCTGTCTGGTGACTATTGCAAATCGAGTAAATATAACGTGCCCGAGGCAGAGCCTATTGCTGATTCTAAATGATGAAGAGGATGTTCAATGATGCGTCATCAGTCAGGTTAAAGGTCTGGCTGCTTCATGATCTACGCTCTGAGCCTGGCGCATCCACATAATTAGGAATGCCGAGCTATGGACAGTGCTGTTGCTTACCTGGTTCCTGTGCATCGGGCGTCTCCGAGATCTCGCCTTCAACATCGGTTACGGTTTCTGCAAAGCAATAAATGCAGGGCACAATTCGTCAGCATTGCTGCTAGCATTCTAAATTGCTATGAATCCACACTAAAACCACACGTCCTAATGTGAACAAAACCCTAGCATTTACATCACCCACAAGATATAGATCTAAACCTCTGTTTCTAGCTGTCTGGTGACATCGCAAATCCAGTAAATATAGCGTGCCCTAGTCAGGGCCTATGGCTGATTCTAAATGATGAGGATGATGTTAAATCATGAGTCTTCCGTCTGGTAAAAGAAACGGGCTGCTTCATGATCTACGCTCTGAGCCTGGCGCATCCACATAATTAGGAATGCCGAGCTATGGACAGTGCTGTTGCTTACCTGGTTCCTGTGCATCGGGCGTCTCCGAGATCTCGCCTTCAACATCGGTTACGGTTTCTGCAAAGCAAGTAATGCAGGTCACAATTCGTCAGCATTGCTGCTAGCATTCTAAATTGCTATGACTCCACACTACAACCACACGTCCTAATGTGAACACAACACTAGCATATACATCACCCACAAGATATAGATCTAAATCTCTGTGTTTCTAGTTGTCTGGTGACAATTGGAAATCGAGCACATATAACCTGCCCGAGGCAGAGCCTATTGCTGATTCTCAATCATGAAGAGGATGTTCAATGGTGCGTCATCCGTCAGGTTAAAGGTCTGGCTGCTTCATGATCTACGCTCTGAGCCTGGCGCATCCACATAATTAGGAATGCCGAGCTATGGACAGTGCTGTTGGTTACCTGGTTCCTGTGCATCGGGCGTCTCCGAGATCTCGCCTTCAACATCGGTTACGGTTTCTGCAAAGCAAGTAATGCAGGTCACAATTCGTCAGAATTGCTGCTAGCATTCTAAATTGCTATGACTCCACACTAAAACCACACGTCCTAATGCGAACACAACACTAGCATATATATCACCCACAAGATATAGATCGAAATCTCTGTTTCTAGCTCTCTGGTGACTATTGCAAATCGAGTACATATAACCTGCCCGAGGCAGAGCCTATTGCTGATTCTCAATCATGAAGAGGATGTTCAATGGTGCGTCATCCGTCAGCTTAAAGATCTGGCTGCTTCATGAACTACGCTCTGAGCCTGGCGCATCCACATAATAAGGAATGCCGAGCTATGGACAGTGCTGTTGCTTACCTGGTTCCTGTGCATCGGGCGTCTCCGAGATCTCGCCTTCAACATCGGTTACGGTTTCTGCAAAGCAAGTAATGCAGGTCACAATTCGTCAGCATTGCTGCTAGCATTCTAAATTGCTATGACTCCACACTAAAACCACACGTCCTAATGTGAACACAACACTACCATATACATCACGAACAAGATATAGATCTAAATCTCTGTTTCTAGCTGTCTGGTGACTATTGCAAATAGAGTACATATAACCTGCCCGAGGCAGAGCCTCTTGCTGATTCTCAATCATGAAGAGGATGTTCAATGGTGCGTCATCAGTCAGGTTAAAGGTCTGGCTGCTTCATGATCTAGGCTCTGAGCCTGGCGCATCCACATAATAAGGAATGCCGAGCTATGGACAGTGCTGTTGCTTACCTGGTTCCTGTGCATCGGGCGTCTCCGAGATCTCGCCTTCAACATCGGTTACGGTTTCTGCAAAGCAAGTAATGCAGGTCACAATTCGTCAGCATTGCTGCTCTCATTCTAAATTGCTATGACTCCACACTACAACCACACGTCCTAATGTGAACACAACACTAGCATATACATCACCCACAAGATATAGATCTAAATCTCTGTGTTTCTAGCTGTCTGGTGACAATTGGAAATCGAGCACATATAACCTGCCCGAGGCAGAGCCTATTGCTGATTCTCAATCATGAAGAGGATGTTCAATGATGCGTCGTCAGTCAGGTTAAAGGTCTGGCTGCTTCATGATCTACGCTCTGAGCCTGGCGCATCCACATAATAAGGAATGCCGAGCTATGGACAGTGCTGTTGCTTACCTGGTTCCTGTGCATCGGGCGTCTCCGAGATCTCGCCTTCAACATCGGTTACGGTTTCTGCAAAGCAAGTAATGCAGGTCACAATTCGTCAGCATTGCTGCTAGCATTCTAAATTGCTATGACTCCACACTAAAACCACACGTCCTAATGTGAACACAACACTAGCATATACATCACCCACAAGATATAGATCAAAATCTCTGTGTTTCTAGCTGTCTGGTGACAATTGGAAATCGAGCACATATAACCTGCCCGAGGCAGAGTCTATTGCTGATTCTCAATCATGAAGAGGATGTTCAATGATGCGTCATCAGTCAGGTTAAAGGTCTGGCTGCTTCATGATCTACGCTCTGAGCCTGGCGCATCCACATAATTAGGAATGCCGAGCTATGGACAGTGCTGTTGCTTACCTGGTTCCTGTGCATCGGGCGTCTCCGAGATCTCGCCTTCAACATCGGTTACGGTTTCTGCAAAGCAAGTAATGCAGGTCACAATTCGTCAGCATTGCTGCTAGCATTCCTAATTCCTATGACTCCACACTAAAACCACACGTCCTAATGTGAACACAACACTAGCATATACATCACCCACAAGATATAGATCGAAATCTCTGTTTCTAGCTGTCTGGTGACTATTGCAAATAGAGTACATATAACCTGCCCGAGGCAGAGCCTCTTGCTGATTCTCAATCATGAAGAGGATGTTCAATGGTGCGTCATCCGTCAGCTTAAAGATCTGGCTGCTTCATGAACCACGCTCTGAGCCTGGCGCATCCACTTAATAAGGAATGCCGAGCTATGGACAGTGCTGTTGCTTACCTGGTTCCTGTGCATCGGGCGTCTCCGAGATCTCGCCTTCAACATCGGTTACGGTTTCTGCAAAGCAAGTAATGCAGGTCACAATTCGTCAGCATTGCTGCTAGCATTCTTAATTCCTATGACTCCACACTAAAACTACACGTCCTAATGTGAACACAACACTAGCATATACATCACCCACAAGATATAGATCGAAATCTCTGTTTCTAGCTGTCTTGTGACTATTGCAAATCGAGTACATATAACCTGCCCGAGGCAGAGCCTATTGCTGATTCTCAATCATGAAGAGGATGTTCAATGGTGCGTCATCCGTCAGCTTAAAGATCTGGCTGCTTCATGAACTACGCTCTGTGCCTGGCGCATCCACATAATAAGGAATGCCGAGCTATGGACAGTGCTGTTGCTTACCTGGTTCCTGTGCATCGGGCGTCTCCGAGATCTCGCCTTCAACATCGGTTACGGTTTCAGCAAAGCAAGTAATGCAGGTCACAATTCGTCAGCATTGCTGCTAGCATTCTTAATTCCTATGACTCCACACTAAAACCACACGTCCTAATGTGAACACAACACTAGCATATACATCACCCACAAGATATAGATCGAAATCTCTGTTTCTAGCTGTCTGGTGACTATTGCAAATCGAGTACATATAACCTGCCCGAGGCAGAGCCTATTGCTGATTCTCAATCATGAAGAGGATGTTCAATGATGCGTCATCAGTCAGGTTAAAGGTCTGGCTGCTTCATGATCTAGGCTCTGAGCCTGGCCCATCCACATAACTGGGAATGCCGAGCTATGGAGAGTGCTGTTGCTTACCTGGTTCCTGTGCATCGGGCGTCTCCGAGATCTCGCCTTCAACATCGGTTACGGTTTCTGCAAAGCAAGTAATGCAGGTCACAATTCGTGAGCATTGCTGCTAGCATTCTTAATTCCTATGACTCCACACTAAAACCACACGTCCTAATGTGAACACAACACTAGCATATACATCACCCACAAGATATAGATCAAAATCTCTGTTTCTAGCTGTCTGGTGACTATTGCAAATCGAGTACATATAACCCGCCCGAGGCAGAGCCTATTGCTGATTCTCAATCATGAAGAGGATGTTCAATCGTGCGTCATCAGTCAGGTTAAAGATCTGGCTGCTTCATGGTCTAGGCTCTGAGCCTGGCGCATCCACATAACTGGGAATGCCGAGCTATGGACAGTGCTGTTGCTTACCTGGTTCCTGTGCATCGGGCGTCTCCGAGATCTCGCCTTCAACATCGGTTACGGTTTCTGCAAAGCAAGCAATGCAGGTCACGATTCGTCAGCATTGCTGCTAGCATTCTAAATTGCTATGACTCCACACTAAAACCACACGTCCTAATGTGAACACAACACTAGCATATACATCACCCACAAGATATAGATCGAAATCTCTGTTTCTAGCTGTCTGGTGACTATTGCAAATCGAGTACATATAACCTGCCCGAGGCAGAGCCTATTGCTGATTCTCAATCATGAAGGGGATGTTGAATGATGCGTCATCAGTCAGGTTAAAGATCTGGCTGCTTCATGATCTAGGCTCTGAGCCTGGCGCATCCACTTAATAAGGAATGCCGAGCTATGGACAGTGCTGTTGCTTACCTGGTTCCTGTGCATCGGGCGTCTCCGAGATCTCGCCTTCAACATCGGTTACGGTTTCTGCAAAGCAAGTAATGCAGGTCACAATTCGTCAGAATTGCTGCTAGCATTCTAAATTGCTATGACTCCACACTAAAACCACACGTCCTAATGTGAACACAACACTAGCATATACATCACCCACAAGATATAGATCGAAATCTCTGTTTCTAGCTGTCTGGTGACTATTGCAAATCAAGTACATATAACCTGCCCGAGGCAGAGCCTATTGCTGATTCTCAATCATGAAGAGGATGTTCAATGATGCGTCATCAGTCAGGTTAAAGGTCTGGCTGCTTCATGATCTAGGCTCTGAGCCTGGCCCATCCACATAACTGGGAATGCCGAGCTACGGAGAGTGCTGTTGCTTACCTGGTTCCTGTGCATCGGGCGTCTCCGAGATCTCGCCTTCAACATCGGTTACGGTTTCTGCAAAGCAAGCAATGCAGGTCACAATTCGTGAGCATTGCTGCTAGCATTCTAAATTGCTATGACTCCACACTAAAAACACACGTCCTAATGTGAACACAACACTAGCATATACATCACCCACAAGATATAGATCAAAATCTCTGTTTCTAGCTGTCTGGTGACTATTGCAAATCGAGTACATATAACCTGCCCGAGGCAGAGCCTATTGCTGATTCTCAATCATGAAGAGGATGTTCAATGATGCGTCATCAGTCAGGTTAAAGATCTGGCTGCTTCATGATCTAGGCTCTGAGCCTGTCGCATCCACATAACTGGGAATGCCGAGCTATGGACAGTGCTGTTGCTTACCTGGTTCCTGTGCATCGGGCGTCTCCGAGATCTCGCCTTCAACATCGGTTACGGTTTCTGCAAAGCAAGTAATGCAGGTCACAATTCGTCAGAATTGCTGCTAGCATTCTAAATTGCTATGACTCCACATTAAAACCACACGTCCTAATGTGAACACAACACTAGCATATACATCACCCACAAGATATAGATCGAAATCTCTGTTTCTAGCTGTCTGGTGACTATTGCAAATCGAGTACATATAACCTTCCCGAGGCAGAGCCTATTGCTGATTCTCAATCATGAAGAGGATGTTCAATGATGCGTCATCAGTCAGGTTAAAGATCTGGCTGCTTCATGATCTAGGCTCTGAGCCTGGCGCATCCACTTAATAAGGAATGCCGAGCTATGGACAGTGCTGTTGCTTACCTGGTTCCTGTGCATCGGGCGTCTCCGAGATCTCGCCTTCAACATCGGTTACGGTTTCTGCAAAGCAAGTAATGCAGGTCACAATTCGTCAGCATTGCTGCTAGCATTCTAAATTGCTATGACTCCACACTAAAACCACACGTCCTAATGTGAACACAACACTAGCATATACATCACCCACAAGATATAGATCGAAATCTCTGTTTCTAGCTGTCTGGACACTATTGCAAAACGAGTACATATAACCTGCCCGAGGCAGAGCCTATTGCTGATTCTCAATCATGAAGAGGATGTTCAATGATGCGTCATCAGTCAGGTTAAAGGTCTGGCTGCTTCATGATCTAGGCTCTGAGCCTGGCGCATCCACATAATTAGGAATGCCGAGCTATGGACAGTGCTGTTGCTTACCTGGTTCCTGTGCATCGGGCGTCTCCGAGATCTCGCCTTCAACATGGGTTACGGTTTCTGCAAAGCAAGTAATGCAGGTCACAATTCGTCAGCATTGCTGCTAGCATTCTTAATTCCTATGACTCCACACTAAAACCACGCGTCCTAATGTGAACACAACACTAGCATATACATCACCCACAAGATATAGATCAAAATCTCTGTTTCTAGCTGTCTGGTGACTATTGGAAATCGAGTACATATATCCTGCCCGAGGCAGAGCCTATTGCTGATTCTCAATCATGAAGAGGATGTTCAATGGTGCGTCATCAGTCAGGTTAAAGATCTGGCTGCTTCATGATCTAGGCTCTGAGCCTGGCGCATCCACATAATTAGGAATGCCGAGCTATGGACAGTGCTGTTGCTTACCTGGTTCCTGTGCATCGGGCGTCTCCGAGATCTCGCCTTCAACATCGGTTACGGTTTCTGCAAAGCAAGTAATGCAGGTCACAATTCGTCAGCATTGCTGCTAGCATTCTAAATTGCTATGACTCCACACTAAAACCACACGTCCTAATGTTGTGTTTACTTTAGCATATTTCTGTTTGTTTCTCGGCAGGCAATTTTAATGTGTGTGTAGTCTATCTGCCCGATCGAGCGCGTATTTCTTCTTCAGCTTTAAGCTGTTTCAAGTTTACTTTGCGCCGTCTTGCATGTACTTTACATGTCTGCTTCATATTCTATGCGCTGCATTTGTCATCTCTTTGGAAATGTTTGATATTTACATGTTTGATTATTCCGTTTTCTCCGATCTCTAGCTTGTGGTTTCGTTTTCCGTTTTTTTTCTTTGTCTTTTTTTTAGCTTTTTTCTTTCTGATGATTTATTTTTGCTGTCGTTTTTGAATGTTATCTTTTTTCTTTTTTTTCCTTTTTTCTATTTTTATCGCTGTATTTTTTATCCTGCCTTCTTTCTTATTCTGTCCTTTATTTGTTTTTTTATTTTTCATTTTGTATTTTTTGTAATTTTTACTTACCTGTTTTCTCTGTGCCTTTCATTGTATTTTTGTCCATTTGAATTGCTGAAATAATCAGTAATTTTGATTTAGAATTGTTAATTGTTTATAATTTTTTAGGTCTTTTGATAAAGTAGCCCAAATAATTTCGTGTCATCTTAAACATTCAAATGAGCATTTATCTTTTCTTTGTGTTGTTAATTTTTGGTTTTGTCACGAATCCGCCATACTTCCTACTGGCAATATTTTAATATTTCCTGGTTACTCCTCAATTACTAATTGAATTTGTGTCACGTATTCATATTCAATTTTCTTTTGTTCCTATACTTCTATAATGGACAGATTTTTTCCAAGTTAACCTTTTATTTCTTCGAAAAATAATATATCGTTTAAACATTCATGTTTAGGTTTTACTTAATGCGCTTTAATGAAACTTATTCAGGTGGGATTATCAAAACATCTAAGCGGTCGCTTTAAAACAGGCGTTTACAAATAAACGGAAAATAAACAATTGTATAACACTGTTTTTTCTGAACTTGTTATATCAGTCTTTAAAATTTCCAGTTGAGAATTGCCCTTTTTGTACGAATAGGCGTAAGTAAGTTGTAGAAACTGCGAAAGGTGTTAACATTTTGGTAACGGTTTATCTGTCCTTTTTAAAAACTCCTTGGATTGAAAGGATTGCTCCTGTGCGCGTACGTTAATGACTGCTTTATTTAATTACTTATCATTACCTTTATTGTATGCACAATTTAACAGACCTGCCTAAATGCAATGACCAATCTATGCATGCCAAACGGAAATAGACTAATCGCAGATGGGCGTTTCATGATAAATGAGATAGTTGCCGAAAATATTATGGCCTATTGCCGTGGCGAGTTATTTGCGATCGAATCTCTGATTTTCAATCGCCCGCAGTGCATACGGGACTTTGAATTGTATAAACCTAGCTTTGGTTAAGCCTAATAAATTATGGCACACACTTGTCTCTACGATTTTAGATTATGTAGATATCAAATGACGTGCTACACTTTGCGCTGATGTTAAGTACCGAATGGAAACAAAAAAACCTATTTATTTTGGAAGAATTGGTTACTATTAATCAGATCACAAGCACAATTTAAAAGGTTTTTATCGTCTTTTAAGCGAAAAAATATCCGATTCATCTTACGTGAGCTGTAAAGCGGTCGCGTTCCCAGAAGGACTAACAAAAGAAAATGAAAGAAAAAGTAAATTTTTACTGGCACATGTAATTTGCCATTTTTTAAATAAAGAGAGGAGACATGTTCACAAAGACAACGGGCATTAATTTTGCATATGCTTGCGCCTGGTGATAAACAAGCAGGCTATAATGAATGCTGTTATTCTTGTCAGCTGAGCTGTTCGTAGGGGCTTTTTATCATAATCCTCTTACGAACCTCAAAATAACACGCTGTTATACATGGAGGGTCTTGCTCTGGAAGATATTTATGAATATGCAAGCAAACAGATAACTGATCAAGGCTTTCTAGAAGTGAGAGCTATTTTTAATTCAAATGTCACACGAGGGTTGGTTTTTGACTCCGTTATAAATCGCCCCATTTGGATCATCTATGTCCCCTTTTTGCGGAGAAAATACGAAAAAGGTACTTTTAACATTTAAAACTCATACATAAGTTCTCATTACTTGAGTGTGTGCAGTAAATGACAAATGAGAATCTTTCGACTACTTTGTGAAACTGTACGAAGCTGTCATATTGCTCCAAATCCTATCACCATGGTTGACGAAGAGTACTACAAGCACGGACTAGCAGCGTTATCTAAATGCTATCTTAAATTCACTACTGGGTGAGTTTTGGTCATCCCGCCCTACTTAAGTGACACCATAATGTGAGCATTTAAAATAACTTACCATTTTAATCCACCTCGGACTGTGCCACGGCGGGTGGAGTGCCTGTACATCAGCGTTGGCTACCTCAGGTATCAGTTCACACGCGCTTACCTACGCGTGCTTCTAGCCCTGTTTGCATTCCCTTTAGTATCCTAATTCAGCGAGTAGGAAGTGCTCCAACGGTGTGGAAATCTGTCGCTTCCAATTCAGTAGTCATGCACTACGAATGACTACGCAGTTCCAACAGTGGCCTCTCGTTATGATAACGCCCTCCTTCGCCTCCACATTTAACGGGTGACTGTGTCGGGGAGTGTGTATAGGTTACCGTCACTCGTCTTCTTGCGAGTGCTTCCAGTTCTGCTTTCATTCTCTTTCCCTTCTTAAACCGATGAGGGGCTTAGTTAGGTATGCTTATCAATTTTGTTTTAGTAGGCTAACGATGTGATATTACGCAGTTGCGGCTGTAAATCCAGACCTCACATGGAGTACTTTGATTTTTATCAAAGCCCCTAGCCGTGATTAACCTTCCTGTTTAAAAACAAAGGCCGTTTTAAAACTGTGATTTCTTGGTTAGCAAAAGGAAAGCTTTATTTTTTTACTAGTATTGCGGTTGATAAAGACAGTACTGCTAAAATGTTTACGTCTACATAAGTTAACCTACTCATATATTATTATGACAATAGCGTTTGTGTATTGTTGTGTTAATGCCGGCTTTAAACAAACTGGTAAAGACAACGTTTGCATAAAGCTAATCTGCTCATGACAATCTTCCATATGCTGGGGATACCGGATGTAATTTCAGCCCCAAGACTTGCCTTATAATTATGATAAATAGGGATTATTAGTTCTGCTTGAGTAGCCGAAATAGCATAATTATTTAATTTTTAGACAGTTTTAAGAACACTAGTATATTCATGCACAAACATGAGTGAACGGCGAAATGAGGCTAATAAATTTGCTTTCGATTGACATCAAACGAAGAGTGCGTTTGTCTAAGATAGCTGCAAAGCCTTACTCTTCAAATGAATTAAAACGAGGGGGAATGCAACAGGACAAAGTAGAGCGTGCGGCGTACTGACCCGCCGAAACCAGCGAGTGCGTGTGCATAAAATAATATTATTTCGACGCCAGTATTCACCGGATTTGCTTTCAATGATAGTCAGGCAAAAGATTCAAAATGAGGCAAAAACCCCCTATTTTGTAGTTCAAAAGTGAATTCTGTCAAAGATCGCTGCATATAAGAGAAAGGTCTCGGACTTACACAGAAGTAGGAAAGTCAGCAGATAGCGTGCCATCATGTTCTGAGCGTAGGACATGAAAGTCTTCTGACTGCGCCACCTTTTATAGAAGTGGGCTTGGAATTTTGAAGGTCATTTTGCTCTGTGCAAAGGCATGTCAGATAACGTGATTAACTGAGTGCGAAGGGCAATTTATCACTTTCATCGTCCCCCCCCCCCTTACCTGCAGTTCAGAGTGCCACATTTTTCTGATTGTGAGTTACGAGGTCTTAGATATGGAGCATTTCAGCACATGCAGTTGATGATTTAATACATAAAACGTCACAATATTATTAAGGGGGCGTCTGTAAATCAAAACTGGCCCACGCGTCTCCTAGAGTTTTGACAGCGGTAAAAAGGTTCTCCAAGGAGAGAACACAGAGTTCGGATTATGAAATATTATTTTATAACATAGAAACAACTACATTTGAATGAAAACTTCAATCTCAGAAAACGTCCATATTACGTATAATTCATTCAAGGGCAAATATAGGGGTGAATGAACAGGATAAATAGTGAAAAATGACAAGTGCGAAAATAAATGCTTCCCTAACCGTTGGTTTGAATTTTAAGAAGCACAGGAACTGTCAGATTTGGTAACGAGGAAATTTCCTTTTACAGTTTAATTAGTATGATCATCAAACTAAAAATAGAGGTTTTTATGTTGAACGGTGGTTGTTTCTGTTTTAATGGGTAGAACGGGATTTGTGATAGGATTAAAATCTGAGCTATTGGTGGTAATGAGAAAATTTGCGGACGTGGAATGAGAGAATGGCCGTTGCTTAGACATTATGATTATGGTTGCGAGATTAAGCCCATTTATAACTGTTTAGAACGACGGAAAGGAGTATTATTGTGTAACCGTTTGAGGTCTACTTGGTGGCAGTGAATGCCGCTTTAGTAAAAAAACATCATTTACCATGTCTGTGAATATCACGAAGGTTGATTGGGCGCGTTGTCAACCACCATACAAGCGTACTCCCGACATATTGGCTAAAAGCCCAGACAAGTGTTTCGCTGACATTCTGCTGCTGCCTGACAAAGTTTCTAGGGATTTGGCTCCTCAATGGGTCCCCGAGCATTCTGTATCTAGTCTCTGGTAAGTCGATGACATTGGGTAATGCTTTCCACCCAAATGTTTATTGAAATTTCGTGTCGCGCTTAACCCCATATCCTGCGTATGATAATTTCTGGAATTATTACCATGGTAACTTATATGTTTGATCGTAATCGACAGGACAACAGACCGTGATTTAATTGGTAGGGCGTTTAACTTAATAAAGGTCGAAACCCAAAAAAACCAAAAAACTCGGTTTGGATTTTGAGGCGTTGCTATAACTGGGTTTTGTTAGGACGACTGACGACGGCTACTACGACAGAACTGGCCATTTCGGTGTCCCTTGTACTTGATCGTATCTCATTATGTATTTGCCACAGATCGTTCTGCGACTGCCTAGTTGAATTCTACAGTGAATCCCAAGGCCAAAAAGGATAAAAAGTTCCATCAAGAAGATCAGTCGGCACACTTCCTTTACATATATATATATATGTATACATATATATGTAGATCAGAGGTGCTATGCATTCCGAGTTGATATAAAGTGGATAAGGTTCTTCGAAAAATCCGAGTTGTACTCGTCAATTTTCGAGCTGGTGACCAAGCCGTCGTCCGACGAGTTGAAGGACCTCGTCCAGAACAGATCGGTCTGGAGAAGAGAATTGAAGTCTGACGCTATCATCTACGAAGAAAATCAGATCGCCGCCGCCAAAGCCAAAATGGAGGCTCATAAATCACAGGTTCCTCGTCTCTTTAATGCGAACTATGCGCCGCCTCCAACACGTTCGCGCTGCCAACGCGCATTCTGTACACGAAATTGTTGTGTTGGACACATTCGGACTCATGCGCCATCAACTGGACAACGTGCAACCCCCGTTGGATTCTTGCCCATGCCGCAAACACCGCGCCGACCGCCACCCTCGTCACCGCCCAACACACTGTCACTGCCCCGTCGTCGCCACCATCCACTGACACCATCCGCCGTACCCCGATCCCTCCATCGACCGCAGCTGCCAACATTACCACCACCAAGTCTTCACGCACTCCCAAACCGATGGGATGAAGTCTGACGTCCCATCAGTTTCTGCCCTCCCCACCAACACTCCCACCCCCAGAGATGTGGACTCGCTGTCTCCATTGTGATCGCACATTCGCCTCACACATCGGCCTTGTCGGTCACTTGTGCATCCACCGCACGGAAACTGGAACGCCAGCGTCCGCAGCACCAAACTATGCTCACGTCACCCACCTCAACTGCCCTCATTGCGCCCTTGCATTCATACATGAGCTTATGAGGTCAAATGCCCATTCGCGAATACCTGCAGTAGACAGCCGCTGGTTACATCACACATCTCCACCAGCATCCACATAAAGCAACGATATCATCCCGGCAAGCACTTAATTACCACATCCCGCGCAAGTTAGAAGTGTGGATCTCTATTCCGTTTTCGTGCTGCATGTGTGATCTGAGTCTGAGACCATCACGTTGCGCCAGGCGCCGTGGCTTGGAAGGTTGCTGACTGAGGTTTCGATTCAGTCCACGCAGCCATCTCAGTTGTCTGTGCGAGTGCGTTTGTATGTAGTGGCAGACTGGTGGGTTGAGAGCAAGACTGTCACGGTTTCTTCCTAAAATGAACTTCGGCACTCTTACGTCTGTGAGGAGTTTGTGTGTGTACTTAATGAGTAGTGCCTTTTAGTCGATGACTGGCTGGTTACCCAGCCTTTGAAGGATAATTGTCCAGGTAGGTGAAGAGTTGTGTCACCATTCTGTAACGTCTGCTATGTCATGATCAGCGAATCATGACCCTCGCAGTGTCGGTAGATACACTTGCGCACCCGCTGGAAATACAGGTCGTGTGCATGGCTGACCAGTTATCCAAACCTTTTCTGTTTTTGTTTTTTACCAAGATCCTGGGTAAGTGCTGGAGAGCATTATAAATTTAACTACAAAAACATGCACAAGCTATTCTTTTTTAATCATTTGGTAGTAAACCACGCTTTTTTTCGAATTTCCTACTCGAAAAAGTTTATCATTTGTTTTAAAAAACTGTCAATTTTCGAAGAATTTCCAAGAAAACTAGCCGTCGCACTTACTTTCGGGGTTTCCAAACCACGAGCTGCAAACTTCATCTGTAGAGAAGGTCATATTTTTATATGGTGTTCAGTAAACGTCAGAGATGACTCCTAAAATTTTGTAATGGATATTTGGTAACATTTCCCACTTTATAAGCAGCATTAATAAACGTGCTGATACGATGCTATATGGTTAGACACTTTACGGTCTTGAAAAATCACCCAATCAAAAACATTTTGAAACCGATGAAGACGCTTATTTCATGAGCTAAATTTGTAAGAGACGCATATTATTACTAAATAAGTAAAGCATAATTTTTCCACAATTTTCTATAGAACATGCTTTAGGTAATGAGTGCGCCGAAAATCAATTGAGAAAACTCGTATTACTTAAGTAGTCATCACTTATGGAATAAAGTTTACTGAGGTGACAGTCTGTAGATCTTAGCGATGGTTGGTTTTCATTGCCTCAGGAATTTTCCCATATCCCCTGGAAGCTGTTTTATTCCTATAAGGCGCCTCAACATTTTATCCACAGATAAATTCTGTCGCTTGGTTGGGTCCATGGAAATAAAATTATATGTTCAGCAATCTTCTAATAATGACACAATCTTCTCGTTTTAGCCTGGTTTGTTCGAGTTCACAGTTAGGCCTCCTTGTTTGCGAAGATAATGACAATGTTTTGCCAGCTTTTAAGATTTTTTTAATGCTTTCCGTTCTTCATGTGGTGGTTTGGAAATGTTATTTCGATTTTTTAGAACCTGAGCAGTACTCTTTAAAATTAAGAATTTTCCTTCTTTTTTGCAGTTTATTATTGGTGTGATGGGCACTGGGCTTGCATGAAAGTCCAGGTAATGAGCCAGAATGATTGAGTTTCATTCCTTTAGATGACATATTCTCGTTCGTTGCTGAAAGGATCCTTTGAGAACCGATTTGCGATCTTTGCCGAGGACTTCTGGTTTATATAGACTGGTTGAGAAATTGTTATACAGTTGTTTATCTAAAGACAATGCACGGATTAATTCCTAGCTTACGGCTGTTCTCCCAAACACATTCCTTAAACTCATAGACCTTTATCTAG